ACATAAAGCCCAAAAATTTTAGAATCTTACTTTCCTGAGAGAAAATGACAACCTAAATCAGACTAAATGCGACATTTAGCCAAAAAACCTTTAGTTTCAAAATAGCACCAGAAATATTTGCCACGGAAAATGGAAAAGCTAAGATAAAACAAACTACAAAAGACCTTTTTCTCTTCAAGCTTATTGTATCCAAAGAGCTTCAAACGCTCGTGAACCTCCTCAGAGTTTAGACCCTCTTTTGTGCATTTTAACTTCTCCAAAACTTCTTCAATTGGGATATTTTCCTACACAAATAAATTTTCATTGTAAGTACCAGAGTCTAGAATAGAATTTGATACAAATATTAAGTCCAAGATACTTTCTGATATCGTCCTACTAATCTGAGAGCATTCTTTAGTCACCTGGGTCTACATATGAATTTCAAAGAGAAGAAATTCTCTAGAATAATTCTAACAGAAAGAAAATGTACATCCAAAAGAAAATAGCATCAAGATTTGTTCTTCTCAGTTAAGAAGCTTAAGTAAATAAAACAATTTCCAGAGTAATAATTCATCTAAAGTTTTAAAACAATTTCCGGAGTAATAATTCATCTAAGATTTACTGCAGATGCACCAGCATTGCTGTTAAGTCAGCATAACAATGTCAAACTGAATTAAGCTATATACTAGATCAACAGTTTCGTTGATAATAGCTTCAAGGGCAATTGATGTCTTATCCATTGTGGCTCTCTTGCTTCAGCTACCACCCACCAGTGCAAGGTAGGTAATCTGCAGACAGCAGAACATTCTATGTATCAATCATAATAAAGTAAAAATCTCTAGAAGTACTAAATCATAAAAAATGCAAGAAGTTTTCCACTTTTACAGGTGGAAATTGGTCATGGATAAAAAATCAGAAGTGTTTATTAAATGCAATACTATCTAATGTTGTACATTGATTCTTTTTATATCTGGATGTTTAATATGCATTAACTATGGCCCTATTGGAAAATGGTACTGAAACACATTATTGTTTTATGAGGTATTCAACATAAGAGGCATTTTTTATATTCTCTCAACAATCAAACACATAATTGTTTAACAATAACCATTAAGGTTAATATTAGATTGAAAAAAACAGGAAAATCATCCACCAAAAGCTAATCTTTTCATCTTCTGAAATCAGTGAAGATTTATATATTCATAAATATCACATGGAAAAAATTGTATTATTCAGAGTGCAAATGGTTTTTTTTGTAAACAAATGATATTCTTTTGAGGGGAAAAAGAATATGTTACATCAAAAATATTGGATTCCTAAGCACATCTATTCATTCTTTGAAATGAAACAAATTAGATTTGAAATTCTTAAGAGAGTTAGGAACAAAATACTTCCAGAGAAAAGAAATCATAATTTTTATTTCCTCTGTTTCTCACAATTCTTTGATGTAACTACTTAGGAAAGAAAAAAAGCTATTATTCGGCAATTTCTAGCAGTAGATTCATCAAAATCCTTTCTATCACATAGCTCTTTCTTGGGTATCTTTGGTTTACTCGGTGCTTTGATATATAACAAATTGTGCAATGCTTGAACTATATAAATATACCAACTAATACCATCTTTTGGTTAACCAAGAAATAAAAACTAATCAGTGATCTTTAGTTAACCTATACATTATACCGATTGATAAATTATATGACATTTGCTGTTGCATATACACTCAAGCATGATACCTCCTACTTAGCAAGAAAACATTCATCAGCACTCTCAACAAGAGGAAATTTAGAAAAAGCTAAGTCCTAACTGATAAACCATCTACCATGTGAAACCACTGACTGAAAAAATGCTTACAAAGAATAAAAATCAGTGAACTTTGAGAAACATTCATATGTACCTGTAGAAGAAAAACTCAAGCACGATACTTCTTTATCATTAACCCAAACCAAAGAATCTTCTGAGGAGATATATATAAAACCCAAGAGGAATCTTTCAAGGTTGTACAAAAGAAGCGGGGTTTGAGAAACACATGAGGAATTAGTATAAATAGCAGGTACAGCCATGGACCCATCAATGAAGAGACCAAAAACCAGAGTTCTCTCCATGCAATGCGACAGATGAGAGAAGAAGATGAACTGGGTAGAAGACAAAAGAAAAGCATGACTAAGTCCGTCAACAGCATTAACACGGCATCAGAAGAAAAAGTCATGCAATGTTACCTGTGTCGTTTCCAAAGACATAGTAGAAGATGGGATCAATATCACAGCGCGATAACAGTAAATTCATAGCCTTTTTGTTTTTTTCTTTCTGAACATTCACCAAACAGATTATGGGTATCTTGTAAGAATCAAGATTCTAGACTCCAAGCCGGCATTTGCAGACATGGACTAGATCCACCCTGCTAGCCGACATACCGCTCCACCATAAAAGGCGGAGTCCTTGTTCATCAGCCAGTCGCCCACTGCGCTCTTCATGCATCATACCATCGAACTGTAAGAAGTATTGGCAACTTTTATGGAAGTGGAAATTAGAGCTTTTAAATTCTTTAGACAAATATTTTAGTCTCCATCAAATTTTTAAAATATTTTTTACTGAATAATTAAAGTAATAATGAAAATTTTTAATTATAAAATCTTGTTTAATTAATAAAAAACTGTTTTTGATTTGGTTATCTAAATTAGATTGCAGTGCATATTATTTTGAAGTTAAAATATAAAATACAATATATTAATAATGCAAAGAACACACTCTTAGAATGGTAAAACTGGTCCAAAAATAAATAATAATTAGAAATATTAACCATTTAACCAATAATTACTAAAATGCATTATATTCAAGATATATTTATTATGATATGAAGTCTTTAGTAATATCTACATTATACATATGAGTAAAAAAAAAAAAAATTGATTTAGAAAAAAGTATATAAGTATATATTTGGTATTTAATATAGTAAGTAAGACACTTTTAAATTTATATCTAAAATATTCTGTTTCATTACGGAAAAAAAAATAGTAACATTAAAATTGTTTCATATTTAATTTTATATAGTTGAAGAAGAATATAAAACATATGTGGAATAATTTTGAAGGAAAATAGCATTTCAATTTCATGTTCAATTTGTGTTTTTCTTTAGTTTCTTCTTTATTATATGGAAATATAAAACTGTTGTTATATAACTGAATATATAAGTGAAGGAGATTTAATTATGCATCAAATACGTACTTATAAACTAGTTTCTACCTATCAAATAACTAATATATATTAATTGAATACAAACATAATATATTTGAACAAAACATAACATAAATATAGTTGATGATTTGCGTATAATAAGATAAATAGATAGCCTAAAATTACACTTTGTAGAATAAAGTTATTATTTGAGATAATTGAATACAGGAATAAATATGATAATGTAAATATACAAATGTCAGGATAATGTTCTTAAATTAAAAAATTAAATTAATATAATCATTTTAAAGATACTAATAAAATATATTTTTATTTAAAAATTCATTAAAAAAAAGTTGCTTGTAATGCTAATCTTCTACTTTAGCTCAATTTACAACTATAAAACTACTTAATCCTACAATCTTCAAGTCTAAACTATTGATTTTTAAAATTTTAAACTTAAGTTATTAATAATATGTAACTTAATTTTTTATATAAATTTCAAATATATATTATGTGGAGATTGAGTTATCACAATTCCCACGGTTAAATTTTCAAATTTTTTTATC